TGCCCGGGGCCAGGTTCAAACCTGCCACCCTTGGTATATGGGGCCAACACCCTACTCACTGAGTCACAGGTGCCACCCAAGAGACAACATTTTGAATGGAAGAAAATATTTGCAAATCATTCATCTGAAAAAGGACCAATATCCAGAATCCGTAAGGAACTTTAATAACTCAATAACAAAAAACAAATAATTCCAGGGCGGCGCCTGTGGCTCAAAGGAGTAGGGTGCCGGCCCCATAAACCGGAGGGGTGGGTTCAAACCCAGCCCTAGCCAAAAACTGCTAAAAACAAAACAAAACAAAACAAAACAGAATAATTCCATTGCTAAAGTTGGCAAAGGACATGAATAGACATTTCTCTAAATAAGACATGCAAATGGCCGAGTAAGAAGTGCTAATCAAAACCACAATGAGCTATCATCTTAACCCATTTATAATGGCCATTATCAAGGAAACAAAAAATAACAGATACTGGTGAGGATCTGGAGAAATGGGAACTCTCATATACTGTTGGTGGGAATGTAAATTAGTATAGCCATTTTGGAAAACAGTATAGAGATTTTTCAAAAAACTAAAAGTAGAGCCACATGATTCAGCAATCCTACTGCTGGATATTTATCCAACAGAAAAGAAATAAGTATTATCAAAAACATACCTGTACCCCTATGTTTATTACAGCACTATTCATAGTGGCAAATATATAGAATCAGCCTAAGTGTCCATCAACAGAGACATAGATAAAAAACCGGCATATATACACAATTGAGTACTCTTTAGCCATAAAAATGAATGAAATCATATCATTTGCAACAACATGGATAGAATTGGAAGTCATTATGTAAAGTGAAGTAAGCCAGGCCCGGAAAGACAAATATCACATGTCCTCACTCATGTGGGGGCTAAAATATTGATCTCATAGATCAATATTTGATGGAGAATCAAATGAGAATAGAGTGATATGTAACAGAGGCTTGTAAGGGTGTGTGTTTGGGTGGGACTGAAGAGTGGTTGGTTATAGGTACAAGCATGTGGTAAGATGGAAGGAGAAAGTCCTAATTTTTTTTTTTTAAATTTCAGATAATTAGAAGGGTACAGATGATTAGGTTACATTATTTATGTTTGTTATGCAGAGTCTAAGTTGTAGTTGTGCCCCTTATCCAGAAGGTGTGCCATATACCCCTCCATTGCACCTGTTAGGTACAAGCACACCAGTCCCCTTCTCTCCCCTCAAAAGTTTTAAGTCTTGGTAGCAGAATAGAGCAACTATAATTAACAATATATTATATAGTTCAAAAAGTCCAGAAGAGAGGACTTGAAATGTTCCCAACATGTAGAAATGATAAATACTTCAGGTGATCAATAACCAAAATACCCTGATTTTATCATTACACATCCTATACATGTAACAAAAATGTCACATATACCCCACATGTATGTACAGCTGTATTATAAAAAGAGCATATATATAAATGCACAAAACAAAACTATCACCAGTTATTATCTATAGAGAGAGAAAGTAAGAGCTGAGGTGGGGAGGGAGGGCAAGGTTGGGTGAAGCAGGATAGGGTAAGGGCTGGGGGATCTTTTATGTGTTGTGTCCATAGAGTACAATGTTGTTCTAACCACTTGGTTCAAATCCAGATTCTGGTATGAATATTTGGTTAAACTTGAACAAGTTACATAACCTCCTTTTCCTCAGTTTCTTAATCCTTAATTCATAAATCACTTTGAGAATTAAATGAATTAATACCTGAAAGTTTTTTTCTTTTTTCTTTTGTTTTCCCGTTCCTTCCTTTTTTTTTTTTTTTTTTTTTTTTTTTGAGACAGAGTCCTACTTTGTTGCCCTTGGTAGAGTGCTATTGCGTCATAGGTCACAGCAACCTCAGACTCTTGGACTCAAGCACTTCTCTTGCCTCAGCCTCCCAAGTAGCTGGAACTACAGGTGCCCACCACAACGCCTGGCTATTTTTAGGGGCAGGGTCTCACTCTGGCTCAGGCAGGTCTCAAACCTATGAGCTCAGGCAATCCACCTGCCTTGGCCTCCAAGAGTGCTAGGATTACAGGCATGAGCCATGGTGCCCAGCCAATATCTGAAATGTTTTCAAAGGAGATGGATGAATAGTCCTGTTGCAGCAGCGCTTGCCACAGGGTAAATACTCAATAAATGTTAGCTATTGTTATTGTCATTATACTTCTATGTTATTTAAGTGTTATATAAGGTGAGAATATTTATGAATTTTCTTTGGAAAAGCTGAAGCTGAGAGGAGGTAGCCAACAGAGAGGGAGAAGTTGAAAATACAGGAGAGGATGCAATAATAGGTTAAATAAGGCTTTTGAGGAAACCCATACATGAATGGGATCTGAAACATGCATGGACGAATTAAACCTAGATCGAAAGAGGGGTATCTTTTCTTTTTCTTTTTTTGAGAGAGAGCCTCAAGCTGTCGCCCTGGGTAGAGTGCCATGGCGTCACAGCTCACAGCAATCTTCAAATGCTGGGCTAAAGTGATTCTCCTGCCTCCGCCTCCCAAGTAGCTGGGACTACAGGTGCCTACCACAACACCCAGCTATTTTTTGGTTGCAGCCGTCATTGCTATTTGGCGGGCCCTGGCTGGATTCGAACCCACTCAGCTCAGTATGTAGCTGGCCGCCTTAGCCACTTGAGCCACAGGCGCCAGCTGGGGGTATCTTTTTCTTTTTCTTTTTTTGTAGAGACAGAGTCTCACTCCATTGCCCTCAGTAGAGTGCCGTGCCATCACATAGCTCACAGCAACCTCCAACTCCTGGGCCTAGGCTATTCTCATGCCTCAGCCTCCTGAATAGCTGGGACCACAGGCGCCTGCCACAACGCCCGGCTGTTTCTTGTTGCAGTTTGGCCAGGGCCGGGTTCGAACCCGCCACCCTCAGTATATGGTGTCAGCGCCCTACCCACTGATCCACAGGCACCGCCCCGAAAGAGGGATATCTTTTAACAGTAGGAAAGGATGGCTATCAATATATTTCTTGGGCAGCTTTGTAGAGCCTTATGTCAAGATGACCTTATAAGATCCTTTCAAAATTCTAAGAAGACAAACATAATTGTTAAAACATTTAATGCTTATTAGAGCTGGTTACTGATTTTAGTAAAATGTCTGATAGACTTGGGTTTTCTGTGTCCTTTGATACATGTACATTAATAACCCTTGTAAAATAAATTGCACAGAACAGTTATGTACTTATTATAGAAGAGAGAGCATGTATGTCTAAAACATAAAGGTTTTTTTTTCTTTTTCTTTTTTTTTTTTTTTTGAGACAAAAAGCCTCACTTTGTCACCCCTGGTAGAGTGCTATGGCATCATAGCTCACAGCAACTTCAGACTCTTGGATTCTAGCAATTCTCTTGCCTCAGCCTCCTGATTAGCTGGGACTACAGGTGCCCACCACAACACTTGGCTAATTTTTTTTTTTTTTAAGAGACAGGGTCTCATTCTAGATCAGAGTGCTCTCATACTCAAACTTGTGAGCTCAGGCAAGCCACCCATTTTGGCCTCCCAGAGTTCTGGGATTACAGGATGAGCCACTGTGCTGGCAAAAAATTAGTAGGTTTTTTTAAAATGAAAAGTTCAAGAAATTAGAAAATCTAGGTGTTAATTTCTGGGTCTATCAAGTTATTACATATGGTATACATAAGATCTCATGCAAACAATGTAATTTCACTTATCTGAATCTGCTTAATAATAGCTGTTTATTGCTGTTTATAATGTGTTTGTTGTTAAATGGCAGGCTCCCAGGGTTATATGAGTGTTGCCAGGAGAGGAAGGTTCTTTAGCAAGAATCCTGACAGTGTAGCACTAACCAAAGCTTGGGATATGGGTTTCAGTTTTGCATGTTCAGTATTCCAAATGTTGCAGAGTTGATTGATGCTGGGAATGTGGATTCACGCTAAGGACATTTTATAAGAGATTAATGTAGTAACCAGAATGCCTATTGATTAATTTACAAAGACGAACATAATTGTTCATGCAGATTTGATTTGAAAATATCAAATTCTGTCCTTGTGGGGCAGAGATCTTCATGGGAAGCCAAATTATAATCAGAAGATTGTTTGTACCATAGAATCAGGACAAGGTCAGTTAGTTAGACAATTCAAATACATAGTACCATTTGTTATAATTGCTTTAATGGTCCATCTTCCCAATATGGACAAGAGTATTTACTCCCTGGAGGGACTGGTATATTCATTTTAGAAGTCAGTGCACACCCAACCCACTTCCTGAGTAGTTCCTGTTCAGGTTTTTAAATTTTTCTAACCCTTTCTTTGCTTATCAAAAATACTCCTTGATTGGCATAAATTTGTTTTCCTGCCAGCTCTCTTTTTAAAAATTTACTTTAAAATAAGATATATATCTTTAGTTATTTCTTTGATCAGATTATAGTCAAGGAAATTAACTCTCTTAATTTATATTTCAACTTGTAGGTATCAGGGTGAGGCAGGAGGCTGCAGTCTAGTGACTTTTCTTTAATAATTCTGCGGGAGCACATTACTGTAGCCAGTAACTAGCATTACCAGATAAAAACCAGGATGCTCACATAAATTCAGATAAATAAGGATTGTATATATTTTAGTTTAAGTATGTCTAAAATATTGACGAGGAATAGTTACAATAAAAAGTGTTCATAGTTAATCTGAAATTAAAATTTAAATAGATATCCTGTATATTTATTTGCTAAATCTGGCAGTCCTATCAGCACATTAACATGAAGCCCTGAGGCTTGCCTGGGTTCACGCTGGTCAGTAAGCACCAGTCCATTCGGTTGCCTCATGCCGTCCACAAAAACCATTCCTACTAAAAAAATGTTTAGGTTTAGACAGTAGGTAGCAACGAAGGTCGAAGAGTCTTGACCCTTTGAGGACTCCGTAACGGCGCAACTGCCATAAATGCTGCTTTGATTGATTCCACGCCCACTCCATTCTTGTCGTCCTGCAAGTAGGAAGAATTGCTCTATCTCTTCTTCCTTCTTAAGTCCCGCCCTTTCAGCTACCTCCAACTGGACAAGAATTGGTTGCTCAAAAGGAGCTGTCTAAAGCGCCGACGTGGAGTTCAGAGGAGCGGAAGTGGTTAGATTTCATTGATAGCCGTAAAGCGCGGCTGGCTTTCTCGTCTTCCGGATAACGACAACAGCCTGGACTGTCAGTGCCGGCCTTCCTCGTGTGAGGGGATCTGCCGGACCCTTGCTAATTTAATTTCTTTCCCATTCCGGGCCCTTTCCTATCGTCGCCCCATTCACCTTGGATCATGTTCAAGAAGTAAGGACATGCTATGGCCTCTATCGGCTGCTCACAAAGGTGGTGAGGGTGAGGGGTGGGGAAAGAGGGCGAGAGCAACGATCCTCTTTCTCTCTCCCCCGCCCCTGCCATCCTGACTCCCTAAGGTTTTCTATAGTACTATGCTCTCACTCGCAACTTGCAACACTTCTTTAAGCTTTCCATCCCTGATCTTCAGTCGGGTCTCGGTTCCTCCACTCCCATTTTTATCTTCCTTATCCTTCTTTCTTTTTTGTCCCCTACCCCAATTCTATCTCTATTCCTAGGACTCTGTCAATCACATCCGTGCACTGTGATTTAGGGACATATCCTCTTTTTAGCTGAGAGGGGAACTCTACACTCATTGCCGTATGTTTATTAGTTATGAACTGAATAAAGGAAGGCTTGACTTCCTGGGTCATGGGAGTGAAGGAGTCTGGGTGACAGGAAGCAAGCGGCCTGTCATGCCTATTGCTTAGCTGCCAGATTAACCTTGCCTTGAAAATAACGTGATTGCCCCACAGGCTGTTCAGTGTAAGGAAGACAAAAATTCCTTGGGAACCTACCAACCCAGTGGGTTTGCCTTCCAGATTTGATAGACGAAAAAAGCAAAGGGGAACATGGGCAAAGGAAGGTGGGTTTTCTGCATGGAATTTTGAGCAAAAATAAATAGGGATCTTAGTAATCATCATTACTTAAAAAAAAATCTCAGCAGATTGCATAGCCTAGCAGGGGCCAGTTTTCTGTGTTGGGTTGGTTCTGCTTGGGTTGGTCTTTTGTATTTCAACCCTTGAGGGTTTTTATTTTCCGTCTTAAAAAAGACACAGGTTTTATTACTGGTGGGAGACTGTGTTTCTTCTTGGGTAGAAATGAATAAGATCTTGCAGCAAAAGCTTTTTTGTAGCTAATTAGAGATTATAGGGCAAAATCTCCTCCATCCCAGCTAATTACTGTATATATGACAGTTTATTTTAATACTGTATTAAGACGTTGGTTTTGTGCTGGGCAGAATAAAAAGGAAATGTTCTTTTTTTTTAAAAAAAAAACCCTCATTTCACAATTATTTTAAGCATTTAAATACTTGTATGGGAATAGATGACTAGTTAGAACAATACCTTTAGGTATTTTGATACTTCTACTTAGAAATGCCTTTTTTTCCTGCAAAAATTACTTGGCAGATTTGATGAAAAGGAAAATGTGTCCAACTGCATCCAGTTGAAAACCTCAGTTATTAAAGGTATTAAGAATCAATTGATAGAGCAATTTCCAGGTATTGAACCATGGCTTAATCAAATCATGCCTAAGAAAGATCCTGTCAAAATAGTCCGATGGTAAGTTTTTGTTTTTCTCTTTATAAAGCTCAGAGTAGCTGAATATTTAATGATTAGATTTCATTCATACTAAATGCAATTATTTTCAAATTAGCTATTGATAGATTAATGGTGGGAATAGACACAGAATAACTCTAAAATTATTGATATTTGTATTTTCAGGTATTTTCTAAATCTATAAAAAATGCAGCCTTGGGCTCGGCGCCTGTAGCTCAAGCGGCTAAGGTGCCAGCTACGTACACCAGAGCTGGCCGGTTCGCATCCAGCCCAGGCCTGCCAAACAACAATGACAACTACAACCAAAAAATAGCCGGGCATTGTGGCGGGCGCCTGTAGTCCCAGCTACTTGGGAGGCTGAGGCAAGAGAATCGCTTAAGCTCAGGAGTTGGAGGTTGCTGTGACCTGTGATGCTACGGCACTCTACCCAGGGTGACAGCTTGAGGCTCTGTCAAAAAAAAAAAAAAAATGCAGCTTTTGTATATTGATTGTTCTATTAAAATAAGAGTTAAATGTTTTCATTCAGAATTGGACTTGGTTTATTTCAGTTTGTAATTTAGAGATTTGTTTTATTATCTAACTGGAATAAAAATAATGTGAAATAAAATTTGTTGTAGCAAGTTATGTTTTTCTTTGTTTCCTTACTAGATTTGTATGATAGGAAAAACAATGTAAATGTTTTTGGCTGTGATACTTACTGAAATGTTTTTAGTTACTTTATCTCTGTGTATGTGTAAAATTAAATGTTAAAGGATGTTTGACTTAAGCTCATCTTTGAAAGAAAGTATCTAACTTGGTACTTTGTAACATTTTTCTTACAGCCATGAACATATAGAAATCCTCACAGTAAATGGAGAGTTACTATTCTTTAGACAAAGAGAGGGGCCTTTTTATCCAACTCTAAGGTTACTTCACAAATGTAAGTCTTGTTAGAAATATGCATTTGGGGATATGGAAAGATAAATGAAATTTAAGTGCCTTTTGATAGTTAACTCATTATTTATTAGTACTAGGTAATAAGGAATGTAAAACTAAAATGAATGCCCATTGTAAAAAGGCAAATTCTCTCATTATGCATTCCAGAAGGCCGAAGAATGAGCATTCATTAATTTAGCAAGTATTTATTGACCTTACTATGTGCCAGGTTCTGAGCTTGGTATTGAAAGTATAATTGGAAACAAAGACAGACATGGTCCTTATGAAGCTAATAGTCTAGTTGGGAGAATAGACAACAATTAGGTAATTACACAAATATGTTATCTACAAATGTGGTAAGCACTGTAAATACTTCCATTTTTAAAATTTGTGTCCACATTTGCCTACTAGAGAAAATTCCATGTGTGGGAAAATATTGATTAAATGTGGGAAGTCTCACTTATTCTTAGGTGAGTGTCATGGTCAGATGTTATAAAACCAAATAATGTCTGTTTTGTACCCACATTTGCATGTTAGACTGAGTGTATTACAAAAGAAAATCCAAAGTAAGATATAATACCAGGGCACAAAAAGTTTTCAAATGGGTAGTAAAATTTCTGCTTTTTAGTTCAGGCATTCTGTCTAAGAGGGGGAAGGGAAGAAAGTGATTGGCAGGTTCTGTTGGTGATGGTAATGACTTAATGAGTTTCACTTTTTGGTAAGAGATAAATTTTGAATTACTTGGTAGTGCAGAGTTAAGGAATAGTAATCTGTTAGGAAAGTCTTAAAAGAGGTAAGGCATTTTAATATTTAAAAGAAAATGATTACAGTTATTTGGTTAACTATTTCATCAGGTTAAAATAGACTTTAATAAGAGAAATTGAATCCTGAAGAAATGGGGGAAAGTTTTAAATGGAAGTATCTTGGTGACATTAAGATAATTTGTTGACATTGATTTCTGTTCAACTAAGAGAAAATAGAGACAAAATAAGCAAACATATTACATAAATCTAGATTTATTTCTGATTTGAAAAAGAAACAAAAGTCCATTTCCTTTTTTCTCCTTCCTAAAAAAGATATGATAGACTTTCTTAGGACTGTTGAGCAAAATTTGAATATGATTTGGCTATAAAATAATACTGTAGAATTGTTAAATTTTTAGGTGTTTTAATAGTATTGTGGCTATGTAGGAGAATGACTATTCTTAGGAGATGTTTGCTTATTTATGGTGAAGCTTATATTTGAACTTAATTTCAAATGATAGAAGAAAAATTTGTATATAAATAGAGACAAATATAGCAAAGTGTTAATGAACAATTGTTGAATCTAAGTGGATAGTGTCCAGGGGTTCATTGAACTGTCCTAGTTTTTCTGTACATTGAGCATTTTCATAATAAATCTGGGAGGAAGGTTGTTTCTGTTTAATTTTTGCTGGGGAATCAACTTTTAGAACTTCTTAGTTATTCTTGTGCAAGAAGCAGAATAATCTGGTAGTTTAAAACATGAAGTTAGGCAGACCAGGGTTCAATTCCTCGTACATGTTACTTTTGGCAATTCTTTGTTTCTTTAGCTTTAAAAATGGACATGATAATTGTATATATCTCTAGCTGTTGTGAGGATTAAATGAGGTAGTGCATGTTATATATGTAACACAATGCCAGGAACACAGTAATTGCTTAATATATAGTATCCATTGTAATGATGTAGTAATTGTTCAATAAATATTCATTACTTATTCTTTTTTTTTTTGAGATAGAGTCTTACTTCGTTGCCCTCTGAAGAGAGCTGTGGCATCATAGCTCACAGCAACCTCAAACTCTTGGACTCAAGCAATTCTTTTGCCTCAGCCTCATGAATAGCTGGAACTACAGGCACCCACCACAATGCCTGGCTATTTTTTTTGTTGTTGTTGTTGCAGTTGTCATTGTTGTTTAGCAGGCTTGGGCTGGATTTGAACTCACCTGCCTTGGTGTATGTGGCTGGCGCCCTAACCACTGAGGTACAGGGGCTGAGCCAATAAATTTTACCTGTTATTAACATTATTATTCCTAGAATCTCTGAGAGGCTTAAATTTTTTTCTCCCAGTATTTGTTTGAAATTCTCTAGGGATCCTTTAATAGGTTATGGATTATTAGTAGACACACATAAATTTACTTACAAAAGGAGTGCATGTACATTGCATAAAAATAAACATATTTATATTTACACAATATACAGAGTACAGGGAATGTTTAGAATGGTAAAACTATTCTAAATTCTGTATCATACTGTTAACAGTAGATACTTGACATTATACATTTCATAAAACCCATCGAACCATTCAATATAAAAAGTGAACCCTAATATAACTATGGGCTTTCATTGTTAATGTATCAGTGTTGGTTTATCCATTGTAACAAATGTATTATACCAAGAAAAGATTAGTAAATACCTGTATTCCCATGACCTAGAGTGAACCATTATTAGTGTGTTGGTGAACTTCCATCCAGTTACTTCTTGTGATGTTTATAAATGCATATTTTTTCTTTCTTAAATTGAGTTCTCTGTTACAGAATTTCTTGATTGATATAGTATAATAGTTGTATTTATTTTGGGAATATATATTATATTTTAATACCTATATACAGTGTGTAATGATCAATTCAGAGTAACTGGGATATTAATTGCCTCAAACATTTATCTTTGTGTTGGGAAAATTATAATTCTTCTCTTGTAGCTATTTGGAAATATACAGTAAGTCATTGTTAACTATAATTTCCCTACTGTACTATTGAATGCTAGAAGTTACTCCTTTTTTAGGATATAAAAGTATTAATTTATTTTATGTTAGAGAGAGGGAAGAGAGTAGGGGCAAGAGCTGAGAAAGAGAGACAGAAGATAGCAGATAATAGGGAGTGAGAGAGGGGAAGATGGGGACGAAGAGAGAGAAAAGGAGCAAGAGAACCACATGGCATCCCAAAGACAGAAAGGAAGAATGCCTGCTGAAGTTATTCCTTCTATCTAACTATATTTTTTGTAACTCTTAATCAACTTTTCTTTTTTCCCACTGTAGTTTTTTTTAAACCAATAGACTTTAGTTTTTAGAATAGTTTTAGTTTTATAGAAAAAGTGAGCAGATAGAACATAGTTCCCATTCATATATTTCCTTTACTCAACTAATTTCCCCCTATTATTAACGTCTTTTGTTGGTATGATACATTTGCTACAGTGGGTGAACCAACAGTGATACATTATTAATGAAAGCTCATAGTTTACATTAGGGTTCACTCTTGGTACTGTGCAGTTCTGTGGGTTTTAGCAAATGCATAATGTAGTGTATCTACTGTTAACAGTATGACACAGAGTGTTTGTGTGTGTGTGTGTGGTTTTTTTTTATTTTTGGCTGAGGCTGGGTTTGAACCCTCCACCTCTGGTGTAGGGGACCTACGCCATACTCCTTTGAGCCACAGGTGCTGCCCTGATACAGAATGGTTTTAGAATAGTTTTACCACCATAACCATACCCTGTACTCCACCTATTTACCCTTCCTCCCTCTCCTCAATCCCTCACTAATCTTTTTGGCAACTCTTTTTTTTAATCTTTAAAAATGGACATGATAATTGTATATATCTCCAGCTGTTGTGAGGATTAAACAAGGTAGTGCATATTATGTACTTAATATAATGCCAGGAACACAGTAAATGCTGCTTTTTTCACTTAAAATTGTATTATAAACATCTCCCAAAGCATTTGGTATTCTTCAAAAACATGCTTTTAATATAGATAAGACAGACATATCTTAATTCTCTCTTACCTTATTGTTAGGCATTTAGGTTGATTCCAGTTTATTTGAATTATTAAGTATTAGTACTACAATGTATATCTTTCTACCCAGATACGTTGTACATTCTTCATTTTTTCATAGAATAAAGTACTAGAAGTAGGATTATGGAGTCAGAGTTTGAACTTTTTCAACATTATCGATGCATTTGTGCATCAAGGTTATTGATAAATCATTACTAAGTAGTTTTAAAGAATTACTGGTAGTAGAAGACTTCTAGTAGTACATGGAAATGCCAGGGTTCCTACACCCTTGCTGACACTAGCAATTACTTGTCTTAAGAATATTTACCAATTTGGTAAGTGAAGGATAGTGTTTCAGTTTTATTTTGCATCTGTCAGAGTACTGTAATTTGGGGAAATATTTGTTCATGTCCTTTGCCCTTTTCTATTGAGTCATTAGTATTATTAATTTATATAATGTATTTCTTTTCTTCTAGATCCTTTTATCCTGCCACACCAACAGGTTGATAAAGGAGCCATCAAATTTGTACTCAGTGGAGCAAATATCATGTGTCCAGGATTAACTTCTCCTGGAGCCAAGCTTTATCCTGCCGCAGTAGATACCATTGTTGTATCCTTCCCAGGCTATAACTGCTGGAGAATGGATTCAGTGTCTTTTTGTCATTACTGAAAGAAAGATCTATCCCAGGAAACATTAGATGTAACTTTTTGGAAGTTACTGATGCTGTTGTTTCATGCCTTTCTGATTACATTTGAAGTTGTGGGAAGTAACTGCTTTTATTTCTTAATACTATTGATGTCCTGTCTTAGGTAGTTTGTTTGTTTGTCTGTCTATTTTAAGACAGGGTCTCACCCAGGCTAGAGTTTAGTGGCATCGTTATAGCTCACAGCAACCTCAAGCTCCCGGGCTTGAGCAATCTTCCTGCCTCAGCTTTCCAAGTAGCTGGGACTACAGGTGTGTACCATCGTGCTTGGACAATTTTTCTTTTTCTTTTTTTTTTTTTTTTTTTGTGGAGGCGGGGACTTGGTATATTGCTCAGGCTGATCTTAAACTCTTGGCCTCAAGTATTCCTCCTGCCTTGGCCTCTCAAAGTGCTAGGATTACAGGCATGACTCACTGTGGCTGTTCTGGGTAGTTTCTTAGAAGTTAAATGAGAACAAGTTATAAAAGAGTCCCAGCTACATTTTGGCCCAATTAGGGACTATTGTTATCAGATCTGGGACACAATATGAAACTCTTGATTACTATTGGAGAGGACATAGGTGATATGATTAGAATTTAGTGTTAGAAGTGGGTACTGGGAAATATTGGCAATATCCAACTTTTATTTTAAAAATTTAAGTTGTTGTTTGGGTCTCAGAGCATGTTTTCTCAAAGAGAAATGTCAAAGTCCCAGAATAATTCTTAAAGATCTATTATTTTATTTTATTTACTTATTTATTTGTTTGTTTGTTTGTTTTGAGATGGAGTCTCACTCTGTCGCCCAGGCTGGAGTGCAGTGGCAAGATCATGCTCATTGTAACCTTAAACTCCTGGACTTAACTGGTCTTCCCACCTCAGCCTTCTGAGTAGTGGGACTACAAGTGCATGCCACTACACCTGGCTAATTTTTAAAATTTTTGGTAAAGATAGGATTTCACTACATTACCTAGGCTGCTTGTTCTCCTGGGCTCAGGTGATTCTCCCACCTTGGCCTCCCAAATGGCTGGGATTACAAGTTTGAGCCACCACACTTGACTTTAAGGATCTTTTCAGCTCATGACTTAGCTGATGTATTCCAAGCATTAAGTTGGGGTGAGGGGAAATTCTGCATTATTTCCATTTCTACAAAGCCATTTCAGCGATATTCTAGATTAAATAAGTTTTTGTGACTATTCTGAACAGACACCCATCATAGGCAAAGTGGCCATTTGGGAAAAGAAATGGTGAAATAGGGAAATCACTTTTGGGAGTGGGTTCAAGAGTGTGTCCTTTGTTCAAAAGGATATCTTCTGTTGTGGCAGTTATAGCTAAGGAGTAGTATAAGTTGTATGTTTATATTTTAGGAACAGCTTGTGTTGACATAGATACTGTTCACATAATAGGCGCTGAAATATTTGAGACACTGAATGAATGAATGAATTTAAAACCAATGGAGAAAAGTATTCTGTGAGTACAGGTTATCTTTTTATATTTATGATTTGAGTGTTGGTAAATTTATAATTCTGGAGTTTCCCTTAAATGGAAAGTTTTCTTACTACCTAGACTTTACTTTTAAAAATAATTTTTATTTTGGAATAATTATAGATTTACAGAAAGTTGCAAAAGTTGTTTCAGAGGTGCTGTATACCTTGAACCTTTACTTTTAAAAATATGTACTATAGTGTTTGCCAATACAAAAACTTAAAATGATAACCAAGACCATTCTGGTGGTTCTAGAAAGGTTGTATTGGCTCTTAAAACAGATTAGGAATGTAATTATTATTTTAATATGTTCTTTATATAAAACCATCATTCAGTGATTAAAACAGTAGAACAATTGACATTTATTTCACAGCTTTTATTATATGTGCAAGAAATTTTATCTCTTTTTTGTGTGACTTATTCTGGTTTTGTTGGCATGGAGCTATAGTATTAACATTTTACTTCAAATAAAAATGATTATAAGATTTATTCATTTAGTATTCCTTGAATATTTATAGTGTTCCCACAGACACTGCCAGGTCCCTGTTCTCAAGAAGTTAATAGGGTCTAAGAAAGGATATAAGATGGGTTCAAAGTGGCTTAACTAGTAACATGGTCATTATTTGACACCTTTCCCTCCCCTCAAGGCATTTTTATAGTTTTCTTAGCTGTGTTTTCAGGCGATCATGGCAGAAGGAAAACAGCATGCTCTGTGTATTGGAGTCATGAAGATGTCTGCAGAAGATATGTAAGTCTCACTTTAGGCCCCCTTAGCTTTTGAGGTATGGGTAACCAACCCAGGAAGCATTAGAATTACAGGTGAAATTTGCTCTCATTCATACCACATCTTACAAATATCTAAGCACAGTAGCCTCATTTCTGATTTTTCCTAACACTTAGAAAGCCATTGAAACCTATTATGTCTATAGAATTGCATTCTTTCTTATGCACTCTGAAAAGAACCCATGTACCAACACAGCTGTTTTATATGTATGTATGTGGTACTATAGGAATTTTTTATTTAGTACAGTTTAAGTGGGGAAGGGGGGAAGATGTTTTACTGCTAGTTATTAAAACAGTGATGTAGTTCAGTACCACACAGTATTTATATTATATTCTGACCTGGTGGTATAAGAAATAGAGTATTAGAAAAATTATATATTTTGATACTTTGGGACCCATTTGATGACCATTTTGGTCCTATTGATTTTGTTCAGGGTTAATGTAACACTTGATATTCCAGGCAGTGACATTATTACTCTGCTTTTATAGACCTATTAGTTAAATTGCTAAACTTACATTAAGATATGAACTTCCGGCTCGGCGCCTGTGGCTCAAGTGGCTAAAGTGCCAGCCATGTACATCCAAGGTGGCGGGTTTGAATCCAGCCGGGGCCCGCCAAACAACAATGATGGCTGCAACCAAAAAATAGCTGGGCATTGTGGCCGGTGCCTGTGATCCCAGCTACTTGGGAGGCTGAGGCAAGAGACTTGCTTGAGCCCAGGAGTTGGAGGTTGCTGTGAGCTGTGATGCCATGGCACTCTACCCAGGGTGACAGCTTGAGGCTCTGTCTCAAAAAAA